AGGCTAACAAGACAAATAATCTTACACATTCTGAAAACAAGATTATTATTCTTACACAGTCAGTTCTTGTTTAGTAAATCAGTCTCAAAACAAGATCAAAAAGACTTTTTGGCTGGATATAAGGTTTTAAAACTTGGTAAGATGGACAGTTTTTGCAGTGTAGTTGCTTACTTTTGCAGCCCACTGCAATGCACACCTGCCGTAGGTCAGGCTTCCTTTTCTTTATTAGGAACAAAACTAAACACACAATGAATCTATCTGTGCATGTTCTGATCTGCTGGTCCAGTTACAAGTTCAAAGTCCAAACACTTTCACACACCAAAAAACACGGATGAAATCCATCAGCGGCAATTAAAATAACCAMAAAACCGGTTTAACAGGTTTTTACTGAAATACTCAGTTACTCCTTTTCTGCTACTGTTTAATCCTGCCCAGAGTCATGGTGGGAGAGCAGTCCACCACAGAGTCAAAACACACCTAGGGTCAATTTAAAATGACCACTTAACTGGAAAGGCTGCCACAAAGATCCACATCTGTTAATTGTTTTAGAAAACCAGCAATATTAAAAACTCACCCTCTCCTTCCTCTGTCTTTAAGTCCTGATGATGTGCTGAATCTGAAGGGCTGAGGCTCCTGTCGCTGGTCTCCCCTTCCAGCTTCACCCTAATTATTCCTCCCTCTTCAGAGTCACTCTCATCCTCATCCAGATCTCCTCCATCTTCCTCCTCAGAGGAGCTTTCACAGCTGCGTGGGGGTCCCGTAGGGATCACCAGRTCCGGCCGGCTGGARAAAAGCTCCCTCAGGATGTGAATGGGCGAGATGGTTACGTCCCAGTTGGTGATGCCGAAGTCGCGGAGGTGGGCCCGGGCGTGGCTGGACAGGCCGGCCCGGGTGTCGAAGCCGGCRCTGCAGAACTCGCAGTGCATCACACTGAAGGTGTCCGGGTCGAAGTTGGCAACTGGAGACAGAAGAGGTGACGGAAGTGGGAGCTCAGAAAGATGAATTCTTAAAACCTCTGAAAGTTAACAACATACAGTATGTGAGCGCCAGTTCTGAGCAGTTCAACTTAGTTTGATCAGATATTTTGAAAGGAGGTTTTAAGGAAAAGTTATAAATAATAATGTTATACCTGACTGGATAAATAGAACGCCGGTCAAAAAAACGACAGACAGGCATGGACTTCCATAGTTATTTACAACTACACCTAGCAGCAGCAACTAGTTGTAGGATTTTTGGTGCAGCTTGAGGCACTTCCACTTGGAATATTTCTGTTTAAATAACCCCAGAAGGCAAAATAGACAGTGTTTTGAAGGTAGATTTCCAATCAACCACAATGAGATTTGGAAGATTGGAGTTGAGTTTAGWCGATGCAATCACTTTGGAAGTAGGGGTGGGGGATACAATCCGTTATATCTATTATGATGTCATCAGCGCTGAATCATAAAATGTCAANAATCAATTAATGTTAACAGCATCGTGTTGAGGAATCTCTTAGGGTATATTCAGACCTGACACATTTGGTCCACTTTAAATGGACCAGAGTTCATTTCCCCCATTGGTCCGGACCTTTTATGCAGGTGTGAATACACTCATGTGAACTCTGGTGCGGACCAAAYAACCAGGCTGAGACCCATTTTTAAGGAGGTCTCTGTCCACTTCCAAACAAACTCTGGTGCGGTTCGCTTCTGGTGTGATATAGACCAGCCTCGAACTGAACCAACAACAGGAAGCATGCAYCTTTTTAGACTTCAAGAGCCACCGTATCTAATCAACATTAGGTTCTTCATTGTTGCTAATGCTAACACTACGCTACAAAAAATGAGCCGTTGTGGGTCAGAGAACATGGAGCATCTTGTCTCCTTCAGGTTGTGGCACGCATTTGCCGAAGCTGTTGCAACCTTATAAGCCTATCATCACAAAATCTCCACTGAATGAGCTGCTCTTGATATTCTTGATATTAACAGAACCATCTTTATTTCTGGGTCTGTGCTCTGTCCTGCTACACGTCACTTGTGTCCAATTAGAGTTAGGACCATCACCTGCATGGATTTGATTATAATTTATAGTCCACTTGCAAAAACCAGTGTGAATGCAAACCGCACCACAGGAAAAAAAATTAAGTCCACTATTTGGTCCGGACCAAGCAACTGGATTAAAGGACTTTCCTGGTTTGAATGCACCCTAAATGTTGGATAAAGGAAGCATGGAAGTGCAGTGCCTGGAGCATTGGCAGCGCACACACCAGATGTAACATACAAACAGAACCTCAAGGTTCTGTTTGTATGAAATTCAGTGTTTAGAAGTTCTTTGGCAAACTRTAAGGTTAAAGGAACAAATGACAAGAACAACACTATATGCAAGTTGTGTRCACGTCAAAGTTTCCACCGAAGTAAATGAAAAACATTGCAGCTTTTATTACAAAGAATTTRTGTCCACATTCAGTGGTTGGAAACCAYRGCTCGTGTTCTACGTTTCACTCTGTGGAGCCACAATAGAACATGATCTTGCTATGAGGACACAGCCACACTACAACAGGAGTGCAAACAAAGTGGTGGAAACAYTGAAGAAAGTGAGTAAGATGAGCTCTTACGTGACGTACGGACATCCACCTCCACAGAATCTTGTCACCTTACTCAACGTTTTACTCCCAAAAATTTGTTTGAATGGAAAYGTTTTTTGTTACTGTATCAGCGCAAAATATCTTCTTTGTTTCTTTTATTTTTAAAAAGATGCTCAGGATTTAGTTTGGCGTGTGGTTCTGCGTAAATAATCACAGCACTCTGAGGCTGTGTCTCAATTCAGGGGGTGCAACCCATGTAGGGGAGATTTGTAGGCTGGTTACATTACAACAGCCCTCCTTCTCTGCTACTGTTAGTGCTAACAAATAACCATATCATTTCAAGCAAATAACCCTGTGAGGAAAAAACTAACAATGTAAAGGGCTATAAATACATGTTTGCACCAATCAATTTAAAGTCCATCAAGACAACAACCAACTTGAACTTTTTCTCCAAACTGAGGTACTTTCAAAGAGTTGTGTACAACAAGTAAGACATTAATTGTCATAACCTTTCAACTTAACCCCACTTCAAAATGGCAGAAACATCCTTTGAAGACTTGGAAATAAAAATAAATCCTACAGCATCATATGAGATATGATTAAGTCTGATCCTTTCTATCCATGAAGTTTTCTCCACTTTGATACTTTTATGAAATTTGATAGATTTAAATCTAAATTATTTTTAGGTGACTAATCTGCAGCACTTCGAGGGGATTCAGAGCAGAAACTCTGCATAGCAGAGTTCAGTGAGGTTGATTTTTTTTTTTGTAAAATAGAATAAAAATATAAAAAAAATCCATATAGAGCTTTATCACATATGGCACTTATAACAGACATGATCAAGACAGGATTATTACACTGTAGACTGCTCACAGATTGTTTTCTTTGGCTGTTCTCTTCTGCAGGATCACCACAGTGAGCTCACGTCAGTTTTTCTATGTTGGCCTGATTCAACCTGGTCTCGAACCTGCAGCTTCAGGATCGGGAGACTGGACCACTGACCACCAAGCTACTGCGGCCCCCTTTTTATATAATAAAGGTTATAACTCTGCCAATTTATAACTATTGAGCTGAAGTTTGATGTAGTAGTAGCTGATGGTAGCCTGACAGTTTTAGCCAAAAGACTGAATTGAAAATCTCCAAAACCAACATCCACACAGTTTAGACAAACACGTGCAACAAGCTGCTGACCTTTCTTCTTCTTCTTCTGATAGGAGTACTTCTTCTCAATCTCGTTGACCTCCTCGGGGGATATGAAGTGACGCACATTGTAGCTGACCCCCACCCGGTTCAGGTGGCCCCTCACATGATTGGCGAGCCCGATGCCGTTATGGAACCGTTCGGGGCAGTAGGGGCATTTCCTCTCCACGCTCTTAAGCGCGTCCTCRTCGATGTCGTCGTCATCCAGCATGCCCTCCGGCAGGAAACGAGGCACGCGCTCGTCGTCGTCGCTGTCGGTTTGCGCAGAAGCTGCAGGAATTCTGTTGTTCCTCTTCCTCAAGAAGAAAACCTTTCTGTCCGTTTCTGCTTCCTCTTTGCCTTTTTTCTTTTTTCGCTGCTTAGCAGGTGTTAGCGTAGCTTTCTGCCTCCGTGAAGAGTTATCTGTTTAAACAAATGATGAATGAATGAGCTCAAACTTAACCTCAAATTTAGTTTTTATCAGTCGTAAATATGACAGCAGTGAATACTTCAGAGGTATAGATTAATCACCAAATGCACACAGCTAAATAACTTTTACAGTCAACCTGATTCAAGACGGCTGCCACATGTAATCACCCTTAACAAGCATAGAAACTGGCTATAATTTAATAAAATTTGCTAAATTGACTAAAGTTAGCATGTTAGCAGCTGAAATATATACACCACTCACTACGGGGCTAAAATACAGCAAATCAATTAACATCAGTTTGTTAGGCTCATAAAATGGACAATAAAGATGAAAAAAATGTTGGATAGAAACTTTAAATAGACCTAAATATACGCTAAATGAAACTGTTGACTCTGGTGTTTTAGCTGACATTATAGGCTATTTAAAGCGTAACTTACCCCCCCTGTGAAAAGATAACTCCGCCCCAAGGCGAAATTTGAAAAATGCATCAAAGTGGGTAGGGGAGGGGGTGTGGGTGGGGAATGGGGGGTTAGAGAGTGAGGTGTGGCCAGGACGAGAGAACGTGACAGCTAGCATTAGCATAATTGATGCTACATGGAAAGTGACCACAGCGACGCAGAAAGTTACATCTCTGAACGTCTGAGGTGGAGGATTTTCACCCCACACCAGCCTCGGACAGAGGAGGAGGAGCGCTCCGACAGCCTGACAGTAAAAAAATAAAAGCATACAGCTGCTCACGATCGCTAGTTTAAATCAGGAATAAAAGTAGTTTACCTGTATAAAGAGCCCTAAAAATCCATAAATTTTGCAGAAAATCCTTACAACTCGCACCCGCTGGGGGGGGGGCATGAAAGCGCTGCTGCGAAGCAGGAGGAGAGAGGGAAAAGTAACTTATAGCGGCAGAACAGGTTGGAAGATGGCTGTTTGATGTTATTTATTTTTTTTAAATCATCCTACAGGCTGACATGTTGGATAAATTTGAAAATGAGGTTTTTAAAATATCCGTAAGACTTGAAAAAATCCGTGAGATTGCTCTATRYGWCYGTATACCTGCAAAATGATGTCAAATCCTTATAACTTACAGACAATCTGTACAAGTTGCTGCCTTTTTTCCCCTCCTCCCCTCCCACTGTGCAGGAGGGCTGGTGTGTGTGTGTGTGTGTGTGTGTGTGTGTGTGTGTGTGTGTGTG